ATGTCACAAAAGTTATCCCCCACTTTTCTGCAGCTTATTGTTTCTAACATTTTATTGCAAAAGTTTTCAAATAGTCAACAAAATTGAAAGAATTGACAATGAACACTCTATTACCCAGTACCTAGATTCTACCACTAACGTTCTTTAGCATTTTAAAAACTGAAATATGGGCCAGCCCTGTGGCTCACTCGGGAGAGTGCGGTGCTGATAACACCAAGGCCACGGGATGGCCGGTTCGCTCACTGGCTGAGCGTGGTGCTGACAACACCAAGTCGAGGGTTAAGATCCCCTTACCGGTCATCTTTTGAAAAAAAAATAAAAGTAAAAATAAAAATAAAAGATGACTGATAAGGGGATCTTAACCCTTGACTTGGTGTTGTCAGCACCACGCTCACCCAGTGAGCGAACCGGCCATCCCTATGTGGGATCCGAACCCTTGGCCTTGGTGTTATCAGCACCGCACTCTACCGAGTGAGCCACAGGCCGGCCCACCAGTCATCTTTTAAAAAAAAAAAAACTGAAATATACTTTACATAAAATTCACCACTTTAAAGTGTGCACTTCAATGGTTTTTTAGTATATTCACTATGCTGTGCAAACATCACCACTATTTTTTTTTTTAATTTTTATTCAGTCAAAACTGATTATACATATTTTGGGGGTTCGACATTGAGATATGTTGATCAAATCAATATTACTAGCATATATATTGTTACAAATCATAATTATCCTTTATGCCCCTTGTCCAATCTCACTTCTACCCCCTCCCCCTCCCCCTTCTAATTACCCTAGATTTCTTCTCTCCTTCTGAAAGAATAATGGTTACTCTGCTAATTTGTTGCCTAGATGATCTGTCCAATGCTGAGAGGTGTGATCAGGTCCCCCAATATTATCATAGAGAAGACGCTTCTTCTGTCATTCTGAAATGGGCTTTATGGAGAGAGACATCCTCTTCTTTTCTTTATCTCTGCTGGTGACTCTCCTTGTGTCAATGCACTCCAGTGGCTGGTGGACCATCTGCGTGGTGGTTGTGGCGTCTAGCCACTTTCACAGCAGCCATAGTATTGTGGTGGCTGTGGTGGGCCACTCACATGGAGGGTATGTTTTTGGCATGCTCCTTGGTGCTGGCAGTGTACCTGGTTGTGGGGAGTGTCTGTTCCCTGGCTCCATACCTTGGGTCCCCAGGCGGGCCCTGAGGTACTGGCACAGTGTGCCTGGTTGTGGGACGGGGTCCTGTCCCCTTCTCCATGCATGCCTCAGGTCCCCCAGGCAGGCCCCAAGGTGCTGGCACGGTGCCTGGTTGTGGGAGGGGGGTCCAGTCCCTGGCTCAATGCCTCGGGTCCCTGGATGGCCCCTGAAGCGCTGGCACAGTGTGCCTGGTTGTGGGGGGGGGGGCCTGTCCCCTTCTCCCTGCCCCAGGGCCCTGGGCCCTGAAGCGCTGGCACAGTGTGCCTGGTTGTGGGGGGGGGGTCCTGTCCCCTTCTCCATGCCTTGGGTCCCCAGGCAGGCCCCGAGGTGCTGGTGCGGTGCCTGGTTGCATCACCATTATTTAATTCCAGAACATTTTCATCACCCCCAAAAGAATGCCGATACCCATTAGCAGTTAGTCCTATTCTCTCCTCCTATACCCTGTAGCCACTAATCTACTTTCTGTCTCTATGGATTTGTCTATTCTGGAAATTTCACGTAAATGGAATCATACAACATACCTTTGTGGCTTGCTTCTTTTACTCAGCATAATATTTTCAAGGTTCATCCATGTTGTAGCATGTATTAGCACTTCATTCCCTTTTTATAGTGAATAATATTCCATTGTATGAATATACAACATTTTATGCATTCATTTATCAGCTGGTGAACATTTGGGTTGTTTCCACTTCTTGACTATTATGAATAATGCTGCTATCAATATTTGTGTACAAGTTTTTATGTAAACATGTTTCAATTCTCTTGGTTATATACCTAGAAGTGGAATTGATGGGTCATATAGTAACATTAACATTTTGCTATCCACGCTTTATCACATATCTACCTATATAACTATCCTTCTATCTATACACTAATCCATCTCTCATTTTAATGCACTTCAGAATAAATTGCAAACATCAGTACACTTCACCCCTAAACTCACCAGCATGTCTACTAACTAGAATTCAGTATTTGTTTAGTTTTTTCTTTTCAAGTAAAAATTTATAGACAATGAATTCTTAAAACTACCACTCTCAATGAGTCGTAACACATGCCTACACCTGTGGAACCTGAATCAAGTGATCAAGACACAGAACATTATCACTCCCCCCTGAATTTCCCTCATGCCTCTTCAGAGTCAGTCCTGCCCCTGCCCTTCTCCAAAGACAGTCAGTCTTCTGACTTTTTTCCCACCATAAATGAGTTTGTCTGTTCTAGAACTTCATATAAACAGAACCACATGGTAGATGCTCTTTTTTTGTCTGGCTTCTTTCACTTAGCACACTGTTCTTGAGCTTCATCCATGTTACTGCATGTAGCAATATGCAGTCTTTTTGCTGCTGAATTGTATTCTGTCATCAGCCTGGTATGACTGTACCATAGGTTGTTTATCCATTCACCTGTTGATGAACACTTGGGCCATTTCCAGTGTTTGGCTTTTATGAGACTGCTATGATCATCTGGCTGTAGGCCTTGAATGTGGACCCATGTGTTAATTTCTCTTAGGTAAATATCTAGGATTAGGACTGTGTTCTAGGGTAGGTGTGTGTTTAGTTTAATAAGAAACTACAGGTCTGGCCGGTTAGCTCACTTGGTTAGAGCATGGTGCTGATAACACCAAAGTCAAGGGTTCAGATCCTCATAGAGGGCAGCTGCCAATAAAAAAATAGAAAAAAGAAGAGAAAGTTCTGACAGACCTTTTTCCAAAGTGGTTGTACCATCTTGCGTGCCAACAATAATGTATAAGGCTTATAAATTTTGAGTCAAAGAATAAAAACAAAAATTGTAAACTGCTACTGATTATTTTCATCTTAAATGTTTAAATAATCAGGTTCTGAATACTATAGCTAAGGCTGCCTTGACCACACTCTCAAATGAACAATGATTTAAAATGAGATGACCCTTTCATGATAAAAATGCTCAAAAAACCAGAAATAGAAGGAAATGTCCTCAACCTAATATAGCCCATCTATAAAAAACCCAAAGCTAACATCATACCTAATAGTGAAAGACTGGATGCTTTCCCCTAAAATCAGGAACAAGATAAGGATGTCTGCTCTCACTATTTTGGGGGGGGGGGGGGGGGGACAGGTGCAGGGATCAAACCCTGGACCTTGATGTTATCAGCACCATGCTCTAACCATGCTCTCACCACTTCTATTCAACATTGTTTTAGAGGTTCCTGCCAGGGTAATTGGGCAAGAAAAATAAAAGACATCCAGATTAGAAAGGAAGAACCAAAACGATTTCTATTTACAGATGACATGATCTTGTACAGTATACAGAAAATCCTAAGGAATCCACTAAAATGAGGTGATGAATTTTATGACACCCTGTAAAAGTCCAGATTTCCTTGATTTAGAAATTCAATGGCTCTTTTCAAACTGCCTTTTCTTCTTTTCTCACGTTCTTCACTCCACATTGACAAAAACAAAGCTGACTCTTTTTTTTTTTTTTTTTTAAAGATGACCGGTAAGGGGATCTTAACCCTTGACTTGGTGTTGTCAGCACCACGCTCAGCCAGTGAGCCAACCAGCTATCCCTATATAGGATCTGAACCCATGGCCTTGGTGTTACCAGCACCACACTCTCCCCAGTGAGCCACGGGCCGGCCCTAAAGCCAACTCTTTTTAAACCAACTCTCCTACCTCGTCTCTTCATCTCTTCCCTCCCTGAAGGTTTGCTCCTGTAATTGTCATCCTTGGAACAGTCCACCAAGACCCTTGTTTTCTACTTATCTGGATCCCCAGGCTCCGAGCTCTTCCTTCTACACCCCCTTTTAAAAATTACGCTGCTCTTGGCAATGAGGAATGGGTAAAGGGCCACAATAGCAATGATAGTGTATATTATAAAATATAATAATGATTCTGATGTGAGCATCACATATTGCACACAAGTATTGATGTTCAATTCTGTACCCCACAGATATGTACAATCGACTTTGTTACAATAAATAAATTATGCTGCTTTCCTGTTCAGTATTTTAAAGTAGCTCCCTACAGCTTTGCGCATAGTTCGCTCTCTCCTGGTTGGCTTCAGTATGTTTCCGTGGCAGTGCTTTGTGGCTAATTTTGTAACAATTTTATTAACGTATAATTTACATATCATAAAATTCTCTCGTTTTAAGCGTACATTCAATGATTTTTAGTAAATTTACTAAGTTGTGCAACAATCATCGTAATCCAGTTTTAGGATATTTCCATTACCCTGATAATATCCCTCCCCTGGTTGGCTTTTAAAGGCCGGCCTACCAAAATCCACTGACAAGTGTAATGTTTGGAAGTTAGGCCTGAGGCGTTTGGAATTTTCAATAAAGGTATAACGGTTCCAGGCAACATGGCATTTATGGGTCATTTCCTGCCCCTCTTCTTTTTAAAAAATGAAGTCTTGGTTAACCATTAAGTCAACTACGATATCTCTAAGGGACCCATAAACTCCATTTTCATCTAAATAGCTCACCTTTTCCTTATCCTCCTAACTCCTCAGAGCGGATCCTTCCCTTCTGGGCTAAACATTCTTAAAATAACTTTCTAGCTTATAGCCCCTTCCAAGACTAGCGACCTCCTCCTCTGCGGCAATGCCAGCCCCACTCCAGGTACTCACACACCGAGGCTCCCGATCAGGAAACATTAATTTGTGGCCTTTCTTTGCCATTTCCAACTCCACCACCCCCATCGCCCGACAAGGTCCCCTTCCTCCTTTCCTCCCTATCAGCCTCGTTTCCCTCCCTAATCTACAAAGAGATCCCTAGCCTCTCCCCACTTCCTTTCCATCATCGCCAGACGCCGGCACCTCGGACCTCATAAGCGCAAATGCTAAAACCAGACGAGTTGATGCACCGAGAGGAGGGGTGCGTGTGTGTGTAAGTGTATGTGCCTGTCTGTGGAAGAAACCAACAGAATCCAAGCGGGTGTCCATCTTCTGGAAATGCCAAGCACGCCCGGCTGAGGGAGTCGGGATCAGGTCACAGTGCCGAGGCAGCGAGGCTTCACTGTGGACCCCAGCGGGGCAGAAGGTCCGCCCCCAACCGCACAGCACCCCCAGCCCCGGCGGGGTGGTAGGGCCCGGCGACGTCACCCATTGTTTACAAATCAACCCGAGCCGGCAGGATTCCGGCTCCCGCGGCTGCGGCGCGCGGCTCGAGCGCCCGGCGGGCTCCGGCTTCCGCGTCCGCGTCCGCCCCGGCCCCGGCTTCGGCCTCAGCCGCGCGCCCGGCTCTGCCGCGGCC